AGACCATTCTTTCATCAGTCTCCATGATGACTTTCCGTACCTTATCCACAAAGTCCATGGTGTTCTGTATGTGATGTTCCGAGCTGCCAACTAAAGGGATGAGTACAGACGCCATTCCATATGTTGCGGGAGTATCAGAGAAACTGAGTGTTTATTTTCTAAACAAAACGTCCCAGTGGCTTTTAAACCCCAAAATACATTACGGCAAAGACTGGTTCATCCCAAAGATCCAGTCCCCCAGCACAAACAGAGTAATATTGTGTATGCTGTTCATTGTCAGGAGGGCTGTGATCAGTCTTACATTGGGGAAACTAAATAACCACTGGCCAAAAGGATGGCCCAGCACAGAAGAGCAACAATATCAGGCCAGGACTCTGCGGTCTACACTCATCTCCAGGCCAGCGGTCACTCTTTCAGGGATGAAGATGTTCACATCCTGGATAGAGAGGAACGATGGTTTGAGAGAGGAGTAAAGGAGGCCATCTTTGTGAAAAGAAATCATCCATCATTAAACAGGGGTGGAGGCCTCTGTGTTCAACTGTCCACCTCTTACAATGCTGTTATTGCTAGTATCACTCAGCCCTCTGTGAATAGTAAACAGCCATCAGTGTGCCAATGATCCATCGTTAGGCTGATGGTCTTTCTTGATCATGTGAGCAGCTGGTTTTGGTTGTCAGCAGCAAAACTGGTTGATCCACTCTGAGAAGGTTCTATTTATAAGACTGAGCTGAATACAGCACCTCAGACTGAGGAAGTCTTTCGGATGAAAAACGAAACGTTTCTACATTTTTGTTGTTGTTTTGCTTTGCTTTGTTTTTGGAATGTCCAGAGGATCAGATTTAACTTTTTTTTAGATGTCTGGGACAACGTTCCTAACATGTTACACTGATAAACTCAATGTTTTAAACTGCCTTCTGGACTTTGTTTTGATTAAAAATAAATTTTTATATCATTTATTTCTTATTTAATTTCTTCTGAACTGGTCTGAGGACTACAGCTCTCCCATGGCTATCATGATCTGATTGTAGCATGTCGAACCCATGTGCAGGAAGGGCTCCAGTAAATAAGTAAAAACAGTAACACCCCCCCCCCCCCAAGGGATTGCCCCTGAAATCCCAAGGAGAGCACCATTCACTTGGGTTGGGGGGTGGGAAAACAAAAACAAAAGTAGGGCTCAGAAGGAGCAAACAAAAAACAGACAGGTAGGAACCTGGGAAAACACTGAACACAAAGGGGAAACACAGAAACCCTAACCCACACCAACCCACCCCAACCCCGAGTCAAGGTGGATGGTCAGGAGACAGTCTACAGCAGGACAGAAGATCCGGGGGAAGGGGGGAGGCGGCCTGACGACCATCTGTTGACAGGCTAGAGGTCTTGTGGGCGACCAGGTTGCCATCCACTCTTGGACCAGGGTTCCGGTGGGCGACCAGGAGACTGTCCCTTTATGGCCAGTGGGGAGACCACAACTGCAGGTAAGTAGACCCCTGGGACAGCTGCAGCTTGATGGACAAGGACCTCTGGAGGGTGAGCGAGGACCTCTGGAGGGTGAACGAAGACCTCTGGAGGGTGAGCGAGGACCTCTGGAGGGTGAGCGAGGACCGAGGACCTCTGGAGGGTGAGCGAGGACCTCTGGAGGGTGAGCGAGGCTCGGCTTCTTCTTCGACTGAGGCTTCAGCTGAGGGCTAGGCTTCTTCTCAAGCTGAGGGCGTGCGTTCACTGCAGATGGATCAGCAGCAAAAACCACAGCAGCAGGTGAAAGGAGGACCTCAGGAGGAACGAGGGCCTCGGGAGCGAAGACCTCTGGAGGAGCGAGGGCCTCGGGAGCGAAGACCTCTGAAGGAGCGAGGGTCTCGGGAGCGAAGACCTCTGGAGGAGCGAGGGCCTCCGGTGCTGGCACGGGAACCAGTCTTGGTGCTGGCACGGGAACCATCGAGGCAGGAGCTGGTGCAGGACCCAGCAAAGCAGGTGCTCAGGCAGAACTCAGCGAGACCGGTGCTGGGACGGGACCCAGCAAGAAGGAGGCTGGTGCGGAGACCACCGGATCCAGTGCTGGTGCGGAGACCAGCGGTTCCGGTGCTGGTGCGGGAACCAGCGGTTCTGGTGCTGGTGAGGAGACCAGCGGGTCCAGTGCTGGTGTGGAGACCAGCAGGTCCAGTGTTGGTGCGGGTCCAGTGTTGGTGCGGAGACCAACGGGTCCAGTGCTGGTGCTGTTGGCGTGGAAAGCCAGGCAGGAGCAGCTGGCGTGGGACCCGGACTGGGTGCAGCTGATGGTGAGGGAGAGATATCATCTGGAGGTGAGCTGGGAGGAGAACCAGGCTGAGCAGTAGCCAGGAAATTCGAGCGCAGCACGCACCTCTCCATCCACGCCTGCTGGAACTGCTGCTATATGCCCGGTGAGTTGTTGTTATTGTCAGCCCCGATCGGTGTACCTGGAGATGATGTCCTCCACAGCGATCATCCTCTCCCAGAGATCGCTGGGGCTGCAGGGTCCCCCCCCCCCCCCCCCCCCCCAGCAACAGGTGTGATCCCCCCCACGAAGGGAAACACACGGGTGAGGACTTGGCTGCGTCTGAGGAGGGACATGCTGGGGTTCGGTGGAGCCGGATCAGTTCTTCCACCCGTTCCTCCTGCGGCGAGTCCGAGCGGGTCGCTCCCCTCCCTTTGAAGACGGTGGGTTGTGGGGCACTGCCGCTCTGTGAGGGGGAGAAAAAGGGCGAGGTGGTGAGGCATTGGACCCCGGTTTAAACGCCAGGAGAGTACCTTGGTATAGAGTATTTCTCCTTCCTCCTCCTCACGCTGGGCAGTCTTCTCTGCCTCGCGGGTCAGGAACTCAAAAAGAGTGATGTCCCTGCTGGGTTCGGTTTGGTCTCTGGACTCTATCATGATCTGACTGTAGAGTGTGCAGGATGATACGCGGACAAGGAGGAACACAGTATACCTAAATAATGTATACCTAAATATAGAGACTAATATGCAAACACTAACAACACATAATGACAGACACCTGGGGCAAAGACAATGAGGAACAGGTGAGAGTGGAGGAAGGGAACGAGGCTCCAGTAAACAAGTAAAAAGAGTTTATTAATTAAATAAACAAAACAAGATGCTGACAGGGCAGCTAACTTACTTAAAGGAAGACACAAAGGGAGACAGTTCATGAAGCTTTAGGACAAGGACAATCCAGAGACACTGACAAGACACCAAGGGGCTGAATATATACAGACACTAACAAGGTGAAATGAAAAGCACCTGCGGTGATTAGGATCAGACACAGGTGCGACAGTGAAGGAACACAGGAGGAGAAATGCTGAGGGGTTACAGGCAAACATGAGGAAAAACACAACATGTAAGACAAGACCACAGAAACCCTAATGGCACAGACATGATGAATGACAAATAAATCTGGTTCTGATTCTTATAACTTAGTGAAATTTAAGCAGCCACCGTAAAAAGTAACTTTTTCTTATATTTGAGAGGACCTGTGTTGTTTGTTTTTCGTGTGTCGCCTGTCCTGCTCTCCTGTGTTTTTTCACCATGTGATCAGCTCCAGCTCCTGCCACTCTCACCTGTTCCTACTTGTCTTTTCCCAGGTGTCTGTCATTATGTGTTGTTAGTGTTTGTATATTAGTCTCTATATTTAGGTATACATTATAGGTCTCTGTGTTCCTCCTTGTCGCGTATCATCCTGTAAGGCGTCTTGTCCTGTGGTTCTCCATGTCTCCATGTTCCTCCCTTTCTTTAAGTATTGCTGCCATGTCAGCCTTTTGTTTTCTGTAAATAAATGTTATTCTTCATTTATCCTGCAAGTTCCCTGTGCCTGCCTGCACCTTGGGTTTAACATTATCACCAGAACATGACAATATTTTTAAAAACGGAGCCTCAGTTCATCCTTCGGTCCTTCAGAAGAGAAAGCACTGCACAATCCTGAATGGAAATAGTGTAGATTATTATTTTATCTTGTTTTATACTATCGTCTTTGCTTAATTACAGGTTTTGTATTGCAGAACTAAAAGTTTACCAATACAAGGTGGACAGGAACACTTTCGGTCTCCTGAACAGGAAACTGAAATTATGAATACATTTCTAGAAAATAACTCCATAACATTATAGCAAATACAAAGAAAGATAATATAAATCAATGAGATATTTCAAAATATTGATGGAGTAAGCTTATCAACGCTGGACCGTGTCTTGTGCAGAAATAATCTGTCTTGTGCAGCATAGTTTTGTTTATTTATTTATACTCTTAACTAACTGTATACAGTAAATAGTTATGTTGTTTTGTATGTAGACCATGGTATGTGCATCTTTGTGTTAGATGGCATGTGTTCATTTTTGTGAGAGAAGTAAAATATATTTGTTACTGTGTATTTGTGTGTTCTGAATATAAAACTTCTCCATTCATCAGAATCAATTAGAACATTTTTTGTTGTGTTACACTACAGACAATATGACGTGTTGTAAAATTCTTCTTCCTTCTTCTTATATTGAAGTGTTTCACATTCAGCACATGTTCAAATGGTTCTCATGAATGTCTGATGGTTTGTGTGTCATCTAAAAACAAAATGCCACTTTGAGAAGAGAGAACTTTTATTTGAATGTAAAGATTCGGTTTGAAGGAGAACTGGAGGGTTTTCCTCTTGTGTGTGTGTTTTATTTGTGTGTGTGTAGTTCTGAGAGTAGTATCACAAATTGTGTGCAAACAATCGAGAACAACCGCAATAACCGCCAATAACCTGTTTGACAAACTTTGGAAAGCGCTAGAAGCGTCGGTGACGTCACATCCGCTTGGAATATTCCATCGGACGTGTCGGTGGTCGTGTCGGTGATTATTAAAGGATGCGGGCAGCTATAGGACAAGTTTGCAGTGTGACAGCGTCAAACACGCACAGACACGGAGAAGTTGAACAGGAAACATTCTGCGTGGACAATCTATCTAAAACACAGCAGATTAATCAATCTGTGTGGATTGACACATCTGTGGAGTTAATCTGTGTGGATTGACACATCTGTGGAGTTCTTCTCAGGTAAGAAGCATTTTGTAACAAGATGCTTGTTGTCTGGATTCAGATGATTTATCTCCTCATTTTATAGAAGCAGAGATGTTAGATAGCTCCATATGCTCACTAAATTGTCAGGTTGAACCTCGCTCAGGCTGTAAATGTACTTTATCTATTTATTTATTTATTTTTTAATTGTGGTGGTGGTGGGGGGGGGGGGGGGGGGGGGGGGGGTTGCCAAGCTGTGAGCTGAGAACCGGTGCTGAGGAGAGTAAACCAAGTTTGTTAAATCTGTTTCCACACAAAACACACACTGTTCTGTTATACTCTGAGGTAATATTCAGTACAATTTACTGCAGTGAAATACTCTGAGGTAATATTCTGTATAATTTACTGCAGTGAAATACTCTGAGGTAATATTCTGTATAATTTACTGCAGTAAAATACTCTGAGGTAATATTCTGTACAATTTACTGCAGTAAAATAATATTCTGTATAATTTACTGCAGTAAAGTACTATTCTGTATAATTTAGTCAGTCCAGGACAGATCTCTGTGATGTATCTTTAGCATTTGTTCAAAATGTTCAAACCAACCACTACTGAGCTGTGATGTGTAATTCTGAAGAGAAGACAACATATTTACTGTATTTTCCAACAGTTTTAGTGTTGAATGTGTTGAGCTGTAAGTTTTCTGGAGTCTTGTGTGAAACTGATGGCAGCTTTGTTTCCTCTCAGCTGCTGTGAACCATGATCCTCCTGACTCCCTCTTCTGGTAAGATCTCCTCACTCCACCTCCTGATTAGGACTTATGCACAGCAGCTTATGGTTGAGGTGTGCTGTGATCAAACTGGGAAACAGAAAAATCAAGAAGAATCATTAGAATGCATTTTGTATTATTTCACTTCAGTTTATGAAAGCTACAAACTTTGTGAAACTTTAAATGTGTGTGCTATGTTCATAACCTTCTAATCTGAAGTAATTAAAAGAAGGTCAGAGTCAGAGTCAGAGTTTCTTTATTGTCATTCGCACCTCATGTGGTACATGTGGTGGAGCGAAATTATGTACACAAGGTCCCAGTTACATCCAACAATAAAATGTATAAGAAAAACAGTAATAACATCTAAGATATGAACTAAGAAAAACATCAACTAAATATACACTAAGCACTCATAACATAAAACATTGAACATCAGCACAAACATGAACATGAGTCTGTGAGCAGATGTGCACGCATGAACACATCAACATTGAAACAGATCAGCAGCAACATGAAACAGATCAGCAGCAACATGAAACAGATCAGCAGCAACATGATATGGTTTTTCACAGTGATTATTCTAGTTAGAGATTCATGAGTCTAACAGCCTCAGGGTTGTGTGTGAAGCAGCTCCGACTCTGTCAGGTGTCCTAAACCCCCTCCTCTCACTTCACGGTTCTGAGCTGAACTCTTCTCCGCTCTTGCTCCAGTTTCGTGGCACCATTTGAAGCACCTGGAGGATTCAATTCTCTGTTGTCCAACTAAGGACAATCCATCCATCCATCCATCCATCCGTTTTTTATTATAGTAAATTGGACTGTCTTTGACGTTTTGATCACTGTTGTTATTTGGACAAATTAGCACTGTTGTTTTGAAACGTGATGTATAATGTGAATAACATCAAACATTTCTATCTTTGTATTTTTAATTTATTTTTTACAGTAAGCTTTTTTTATTTATCATGTCTGAAATGTAGCAGGAGTTCAGACACCTGCTGATGTGCGTGCGCTCTGTAGAGCTGTTTGGAGACACTGTGCGTAACGTGCACTGTCCACAGGGAATTTATTTATTCTGTTGAATAAATGATCGTTTCTGTTTCGGGGGTCTGAGAGGAGGGGAGAGGGGGTGTTTTTCAGTTTGCAGCCTCGATGAGTAAGGACAGTATTTGGAGAGGAGGAGAGGACTCTGCACAGAATCTCTGTGCGTGACCATCTATTCCTCCGTCCTCACCCCCCGCCTAGAGACTCCTCGAAGGAGCGTGTAGCTCAGGGGTCCCCAAACTTTTTCCTGTGAGGGCCACATAACTTTTCCCTTCTCTGGTGGAGGGCCGGAGTCAGTTTGTAACAGAAAAAGTGTGACGATTGCAGGAGTGCCTAAACGTAAAAATTTATTGTTTTCCAGAAAGCACAATCAAATAACCCTCTCTGGGTTCTTCACAGAACAAAATTCAGGAAGTAA